CATGTTATCAAAAGTCTAATTATCATTGGGCAAAGATAATTTTTTGAGTCAAGTTTGATTTTACAGAATAGAAAACAAATACAGGACTAATAATAAAATGATGCTTACTCTTATTTCTATTCTGCGAGATTTGTTATTTATTTGTTTCTTTGATTGAGTATTTGACGATCGAATAAGTTCATCTTTTAGTTTAGACGATGATGATTTAGCCCTTCTTAATTTGTCTAGTTGTGTAATTAGATCTTAAATTGATTTTGGATTTTGTTAATAAATATACATATTTTTATAATGTTAATAATAATTTTTATTACCTTCGTCACTGTCAAGATCAGATCTAGAAGACGAGATGGAATCATCATCATCGTTATTACTTTCGTTGTTTTCCGATTCACTTTTTTCATAATTGTCGTCTTCATCTGAACTTTTCCTCTTTTTCTAAACGAAATGCAATTATCATGAGTCAAAAGGTTCTTAATACGTATGATATTTGCATGTTTACTTTAAAAATACGTAATCAATCTGGATGTAACGAATGCACTATGTAACGAATCTAATTAAACTCGGGATATAGTGAACTTGAGTAATCATTCGTTATATCAAGATTCACTATGTAATAAGAAACTCACAGGAAGAGAAGGATGAAGGAGTTTGAACTCCCTTGAATTCTCATCAACTTGGTAATCAGGATTAGTAAACAATTCGCCAAATCGGTTATCTTTGAGAGGATTTACGGATGGCTATCATCCAAGATTGGAATGTTAGTTTTGTTAACTTTCATATGTGAATTAATTATATTGAATTAGCTATATTAAAGAGTTTGGAAATAGACAAATATAGACCTCATTTGATTTTCTCTTTTTCTTCTCTTCATCTTCTAGTAATCGACTAGCCAGCTCTTTATTAACTTTAGGTAACTTCTTTGTTACTCTGATTCTGGAAGCGCGTTCTTTTTCAATCTTTTCTTTGATTACTCGTTGACGATATTCCGCGTAAGCAAATGGATTCATGATAAGTTTTGCCTAAATTCAGAAAAAGAAATGTAAATTATTAATCTACAATTGTTCTTTTGATTGGATTATCGTAGAAAATATTCGTCCATACTTTTTCGTATAATCTTAAGTCAATAAAAAAGCCGTGCATGTATGCTTTAAGCAAGTTAGTGCCTATAAGATGATCCAAGCCTAGACTATACAAATAATAAGAACATCACTAGACATATTATCATCATAGATCTTTCATGAATAAGAGCAAGATTAATGCAGGACTTACTTCGCCAGTTCTTTTCTCGTCACAAATTTGTAATTTTCATAAATATTCTCTTGCGGATTTTCTTCAAGTTCTTCCTACGTCAGTTGAAAAGCATTATTGAATTTTCAAGAATGGAAGATCTAACTGTGTTATCTAATGTAAGAAATCGTATAATAGGACATACTGTCAAATTATCCAAGAAATAACACCACCGAGGTGCTGGTCCAAGAGCCGGAATATAATAAGCTCCAATTTGAATACCTTCATTTGCAACGAATATTAAACCTGAATCAGGCACGACACACACGTCATTGATATCGTTTGGAGGCTCAACCGATGTAAAATGTGCACCCTACGAAAAAACTTTATTATTAACTTATTTCGAACATAAAGATATTCGAATGATCCAAAGTTAAATTCGAAATTGCTTCACACACAGATTCTCGATCCCATATTTTCATAATCTTGCAATCTGCACTTATAACTTTCCCTCGTCCTTTATCTCCAACAGCATTATTATACCAATGTACACTTTTAATCGGATACCCATATTGATGGTCTTTGACTAACCATGGTGAGGAACTACGTATATCATATAGCAAAATATGACCACTGGATGTTCCAACAGCTAGGCCAAGTCCATCATCTCGAAATTTCATAGAAGTTATTTGAATGTCTGGTGTAATAATGCTATTTTCACTATCTAAAGATGATGGTAATCGTGGAGTCAGCAAGCCTACGCGTGATCTGGATCGTGGATCCCAGAACTCTACAGTTCCATCTTCCGTTCCAAATCCGAATAATTGATGCGCCGGATTTATAATGCTCACGTTCACCCCTTTTGCAGCGTCCGTCATTATAGAATTCAAGAAACGCCCCTGATCTAAATTCAGCCGATATATTTCACTAGATGATGCTGCTATAAGTAGATCGCAGGTAGGATAATGGTACGCCAAATCTCTCCCAAACTAAGGATCAAAATATTTAAAATCAGAGAATCAAAAATGAAAGTTATATGTGATGCAAATTACATACTTTAGGTATTCGAGTTTTATAATGTAAACCTCCTTGTGCATGAAATTCTATTGTTCGGTCATTCTGTAATAATACCGATTTTGTCCAATCATCCGAGAGAATCTATTATTTAAAACATTTTAAAACATGATACGATTAAAAATAGATCAAGTTTAATAATTAACATCTTACTATAAAATTTATATTTTCAGCATTTGTATGACGATCGAATTTCATTGATGTTTCTGCATATTCGAAAACTCGCATTTGAGGCTTATAGACGCCTAATAAATCGAAAAACGCCATCCAATTAGCGAGATAAACCTTTTTTTATCAAATCCGAAAAATTCTAACCAGTCGCGATCACAAATTTATTATCAGCCGTTGTTTTTACTTTAATAGAAGCCTCAGGAAATTCAAAATCCTGAATTAACTCAAGGCGTGACCTCCATTCTATTATTACATAATAATTAAAATAATAAGCTTATAGTTATAATAGATACAGAGGCCAAATACTAAACCTGGGTCATTCTTCAGAGTTTTTTTATTTCTTCGAGCAAGCCAGTCAGGTATCGAACGTGTTCCTGAACCGGAAACTGTGTATACTTTAACGTTATTCGGGTTTGTAACTTGGAGTACCATGATATAATTTTACAATTTGAAGCCAAGGAAAAAAGGTTCAACTTGACATATATCACGTGTTTAATATCATTTGGATGCACTCATGATACATTCCATATCACTTTTTAGCGCGAAGAGAACATATGAATAAATAATTTACATCTCCGAATAGATAATAGAATAAATCGGGATGATTTCGCGCTCTTAAAAATAATATATTCTTTAAATTTGAAGCATCTCTTGATGATTTCTAATAATATTACAAATTAAAACACCAAGTAAAACAGACATAACTTAAAAAAAGGTAGTAATATGAGTTCTAAATAATTAATAAATGAAAGCAAAAAATCATGTTTTAATTTCTTTTTCCCCTACACACATACGCCATTCCCCTAATAATTATCCTTGATATTGAAATCTCTGACTCAACCTCCGAAAATAACAACATCTCAAGCTACATAATAATAATAGTAGCAATGATAATCATAATAATGATGATGATGTGGTGGATGATGATGATAATAGAATAAAAATGATAAAGCAATATATCACAATAACAAGATCATAAATGTTTGATTTTGTTAGATTTGTGTTTGCTTTAATAAAATTGTATATATGTAAAATGTATATGTGAATATATACAATATTGTCCCTCTCTTTCTTAAATTTTTGATATAATTTAACTTTTCGTCGCGTCCAACAATCCGCTTCCAGCCATTTCTTTAGGTGTTGGCATCGTCGTCGTACGCGGATTCAGAAAGTTTCCTTGGTTCAAGTCTAACCAACAACGGCCCTGTCCCCAGTAACAAGTACTCGAAAACAGTGCGAGTAGTAGTATTGTACAGTACACACTTTATTTTCGTTATTAGCATTAAAGTGTCAGCATGAATCGAGAATAAGAAAGAAATTCGTACTCAATAATTATAAAAGAGATAAGAAATCTATTTGGTACTTACCAAGGTCGTTGATGCAGAAAATATGAAATCAAAAGCGTTAGCACAAAAAATGGTGGCGCATTTGGAAATGGTAGTAATAAGAGTGGAATGAACCAACGCATGCAGTACATTATTGTATTTATGAATTTCAATCCCTTTTAGACACCCGCCTTATTACCGACCCTCTTGGCTATTCTTTGTGGTATCTTGCTTGCTCTGCTGCTTAGTTTTTACAAAGTTTGTTGCGAACAATAAAAAGGTAAAAAAATAGCTCGAGTTTTGTGTTTAAAAAACTGCACAACACCACGTGTAATATCTCTTCTCCTTGGATATCGATATGATAATGGTAATGATTGGTCGCATCAAAAATTGAAAATGAAGTTTTGAAAAAAATTTCAAGAAACAATATTTCAAAAGATGGTTCGAGCTTGGTCTGACTCGAGCAATTTTATCAAACAATTATTCAGTACTATTACGCTATATGGTCTTCCATTCACCTCTCAGAGTTCAGTCCTCGTTATTGGGCTTCTTTTTCACATTTTATACATATGGAGCATTTTTGATATTTACTTCACATCACCTTTGGTGCATGGGATGACGCCGCAACGGGTTGAATTACCCTCCCCGGCGAAAAGACTTGTTTTGTTTGTCGGTGAGTTTGACAGATTTACCGTCTTTTATTTTGTCATCCTGTGTTAGAGAATAATGTTTTATTGTAATTAAGCTGACGGCTTACGTGCTGATAAGTTATATCAATATCTTTCGGACGAGAATTCAACGATAACGACAACTAATCCCTATTCAGAAAATCATCCTTTTTTGAAAGAAATTATTAATGAACAAGGCACATGGGGTGTCTCTCATACTAGAGTACCAACAGAGTCAAGGCCTGGACATGTCGCCTTGATTGCAGGCTTTTATGAGGATGTTAGTGCTGTAACTAAAGGTTCGACGCCACACATTTGTTATTAAGACAAAATATTGATTCACATAAATATCTAAATTCAATTCAAATATGATTAAGGCTGGAAAGCGAATCCTGTGGAATTCGATTCAGTTTTCAATCAAAGTCGGTATACATGGTCGTTTGGATCTCCCGATATACTGCCAATGTTTGCTGAAGGCGCTTCCGATCCGGATCGCGTAAGCACAATAATGTATTCCGCAGATAGCGAAAATTTCGCGAAGGGTAATTAATATTCTATTTCTAATACGACGTGTAACTATAATCTTTTCGATGTATTTACTATTAATCGCATTATTTAGACGCGGTGGACTTAGATTATTGGGTATTTAAGCAATTTCGCCAATTATTTGCGAATGCTTCATCTGATCCACACTTGCATCAAAAATTGCAAGGCGAGCAAATAATATTCTTCCTCCATTTACTCGGCTTAGACACTAATGGTCACGCGTACGGTCCTCATTCTAAAGAATACTTGCACAATATCAAAGTAGTAGATGAGGGAGTTCGTGAAGTTGTCGAATTTCTGGAAAATTATTATAAGCATGATGGTAAAACTGCATACATCTTCACTTCTGATCATGGAATGAGTAATATAGGTAAGCTAAGATAATTGGTGGAGAAAAGCTTTTAGATGATAGTAGTTATTGTATAGTTTTAATTACGCTTTCTTGATCTTTGAAATTATTTAGGCAATCATGGGGATGGACACCCAGATAATACACGTACTCCGTTAATTGCCTGGGGTGCTGGTATTAAAAAGCCTAATAAAATACATTCGGGTGGATATGATGATGTGCTCGCTACATGGAATTTGACTCATTTGGAAAGAAATGATGTCTTGCAGGCTGATATTGCACCTTTGATGGTATTATACTATTCTCATAATTATCTATTAATATACTTTTGCAAGTTTAAAACTTTCTGTTATGTTTTTATTTATTCTAATTCACATTCTATATTAATTACTTTAGGCTTCTTTGATTGGTATTAATTATCCTGTAAACTCTGTAGGGGAACTGCCATTGAATTATCTTGATAACACGGATAAATTTAAAGCACAAAGTCTTCTCGTCAATGCGATTGAAATCTCTGAGCAATATAAAGTTAAAAATGGTGATTTTTCCGGTTTTCAGAAGGATTCAAATTTCCTTTGTTTTAATATAGCAAATCATTATTTTCTTTCCAGAATACAAAAAAAGAACAGCATTATGGTACCAACCATTTGCCCCGCTGAGTAATTCCACGCATAATCCCAATACATTAATCACGCAAATAAGAAATTTTATTGATGAAGGAAATTATAATGAAGCGGAAAATTTGTGCTTAGTTCTGGCAGAACTTTCATTACAAGGACTTCGGTATCTTCAAACGTATGAAATATTTGTATTCTTGTAGTATTTAAACTATCGCTTCTATATTCAATATGTAATATGGACTTTTTTTAATTTGTCCCTTCCAATCCTCAATTACAGGTATGATTGGCTCTTTTTACGATCAATTGTCACAATTGGTTATTTAGGTTGGATTGCTTATTGCTTAATTTTTACCATAAAAGAATATGCTCTAGAAAACACTTATCGATTATTGAATAATAATAGCCAATCTAAAGAAAATAAAATGGCAAGTGTTTTGAAACTTTAATTTATTGAATTTTAGGTAGATTATTAATATGTGCTTGTTATTTTTTATAGTTGATACATGTATCTCAGTTCTTTTTATTGGCACTTTTCTCTATTCTTTATATACAAGAATCGCCGAGAACTTATTACGCATACGGATTTTTTCCAATAGCTTTCTGGAGTGAGGTTCTGAGGCGATACCACATTTTATCAGACTATAATTGGGAACGAGCCTTAAGTGGACACAGTTGGATTTTCCTTGTTGGGTATATTATTGGATATATTCTCGTATTGGAAATCTTTGTAAGTCTGGAAACGTGTTGACATATATTTTAGCACCTGGAGTGCTCGAAGCTACGCGTAGATTGTAAAAATCTTGAAAGATCGCTAAAAATATCATTTGTTTTAAAAATAAGGTATACAGTTATTTCGAACGTGGAACATTAACAGTTTGTTTTATCTTCGCCGCATTTTGGCCTTCTATAACGTCGTTTAAATTCCGTAAATCGAATGGACCGCTGCTTTACTCTTGGCTTGCTTCATGCATAATTTCAAGCACGTTTTTATTGCTACCAGTTGAAAAAGGAGAAAATATTATTCTAGTGTGAGTAATTTGGTTTTCTTGGACATATTATATAAATGCTTATACAAAAATCCGTTTATAAATACTCAGACTTACCATAGATCTTCTCTAATATGTGGACATCAGTATTACTGGCGGCATTTTAATTGGTGTCACGGGATTTATTGCGCTATGGAAGAGTAAGTATTTCATTCCGGAAGATGATGCGTTTGCACGAAAAGTAATATGGATTCAGGTATGTGCTGACAAAGATGTTAGTTGATCGGCGTGTATTTATTTAACAGCGCCAAGTTATTCTTATTATTAGCTTGGATTAATATTTTCCAGCACTTTACTTGTTTACGACACGACAAGTAAATTAAAATCGAGAGCGGGTTTGCCATTGTTTAATCAAATACTTGGTTGGACTATTTTGGGTAAATATTCTTTTTGAGCTAAATATTCTCTTTCGTATTAACATTGACCATTTACTATTCACTACTAGTCATCTCCACCTCTACGCCCTTTATATACGGATTTAGAACAAAGCAGCATTATCTTCATCGTCTTATCAATATTGCTTTAGCATTCGCGCCGTTATTTGTACTTTTGAGCATTTCTTATGAGGCACTATTTTACTTTTCCTTTTCAATTACTCTATTCTTGTGGCTTTTCTTAGAACAAAAGATTTATGAATCAGAATTATCGCCATCGTCATCATACACAGTAACACGAAAATTGACTATACGTGACGCCCGAACCGCATTATTTTTTCTCTTTTTCATAAAAGTCGCTTTTTTTGGCACCGGCAACGTTGCAAGTCTCAGCAGTTTTTACCTATCAAGCGTTTACCGCCTAACCACAGTCTTCAATCCATTCCTAATGGGTGCGCTCTTACTCTTCAAAATCATGATCCCATTTTTCATCGTTTCATCTGTGTTTGCAGTTGTC